CCCCGTCTCTGCCCCCTCCGGGCAGCAGCCACCCTCCCCAGGCATCGCCCGATGGCCCCGGGGGGAGAAGTGACCCTGGTGAGAGCCCGGCTCTGACAACAGCCAGTGCACAAGGCGAGCAGCCGTCCCCTGTGCAGGGCCTCGGGGGGGGCCGGGTGGGGTTAGGCCCACGAGGCCCAGAGCAAGCCCCTCCCCCTTTCTGAGGGATGGGGCTTGGGCGAGAGTCTGATGCTGAGGGGACGATGGCAGGCAGGCGCTGTGCACCCCTTTTCTCTCTGGCTGTGAACCCTCACCTGCGGAATAGGAATTTTTAGGGGGGTGGGGAGACACACACATCGATGTGAGAGACCATCGATGGGTCGCCTCCCACACTCACCCCGACGGGCCCAGGGACCGAACTGCAGCCCGGCACACGCCCCTGACGGGGTCGAGCCCGAGACCCTGTGGCGACACTCTAACCACTGAGCCCCGGCCAGCCGGATGGCCTCGGGCTCCCGTCCAGCAGACCTGCTCACTGAGGTCCCGTGTCACCGACGCCTCTTGCCCCCGTCGTGCGTTTCCGAGGATGGGGGGTGGGGGCAAGGCTTCCCTCGGGCGTAGATGACACGTGCCATCCCGCCATCAGGGGCCTGAGGGAGACCCGCTCGCTCCCTGGAGCTGGCGCCTTGGGCTGGGCAGGGTGCGGCCTCTCCCTGGGCTGCTCCCTCCCCTGAGCCTGGGTTCTGGCCCCCCACCCCCACCCCCGCTCACAGCTGTTCCTGTCTCTCCCGACAGACAAAGAAGGCGGCATCCTTCCCCAGCTTCGTGGCCGGTAAGCGACGTTGGACCTTCTCGCGGGTCGTGTGTGTGATGGCGAAGCAAGTGGTGCTGACTTGGGGGCCTCCTGCAGCGCCTGTGGAGAGGGCTCTCTGTGGGGTGCAGGTGGCGCTGGGACCGGGCGAGGTCCCCGCGCATGTGGTCACTCGTGGGCTGCAGAGCCCGTGTCGGGGTGTGGCTGTCACCCCTTTTTCATCCTCTCGTCCGTTGACCCTGAGGTTGCTTCCGTGTCTCGGCTGTTAGTGACAATTCTGCGAAGACGTAGGGGTGCGCATACCTTTCGAGTTCACGGTATGCTGGGGTCCAACCCCAGCAGGTCCAGGGGTCCCCAAAGGTGTGGACGGAGTCGGCAAAGGAGGAATGACACGGAGGCAGCGTTCAGTTGATCAGCATAGAGAGGTTCTCCTGCCAGGTTCTATCCAGGTTCTGTAGCCAGGTTCTGTGTCTAGGATCTTCAGCCAGGTTCTCTCGCTAGGTTCTGTCTCTAGGTTCTGTTGCCAGTTTCTGTCCAGGATCTTTTGCCATGTTCCATCTCTAGGTTCAGTGT